CTTAATGGTTGCTAAGTGTTGACTTCACCACCCTGCCTGTGAAGCCTTCCTTCCTGAACTCCCCACAAAGTGAATCCTTCACACCTCTCTGCAACCAGAGTACACAGGTCAAGTCTACTATCACAGGCATGTCACTGCTTTGTAATTACATTGGTGTGCCTGCCTTCCCTGCCAGCCCATGAGCTCTTTGAGAGCAGAGGCTATATTATTCATCATGGTCCCCATATTGCCTGGCATTAGATTTCAGTAACCACTGAATGAATGTTAGAATGAAATGAAATGAAATCCAGATGCCTATTTTTCTGTCTGAGTATCTGCACAATTCTATCCCCATGTTTTATCAGGCCCTCTGGGCTCAAGTCATCTTATACCCTTATAGGATTCCTATCCAGGGAACACACACTATACCACCTAAGCATGAATGGTCAACTGCCACATTCCTTGGGAAGCCCCTATTTTCATCTCAAATATGGAAAACACTTAAGAACCTCATTTGCATGGCATAGCCTAGATATGTGTTCTTGAACCATGTTCACAGTTTGGGGAAAAGAACACTGTCACACTTTCTTCAAGAAAATTCAGTATATACTCCCAGCACCACAGACTTCCTACTTTTGATGATGATGGTGGCTGCATAAAGTACCAATAGCCTCGTCTTTTGAAAGGATCTGCCATGCTGCTGATGCAATCATTCTGATTAGAAACTTCACGTCGAAGGTCAGCAATTTCTTCCAAAATGTTTTCAAAGTTTCCTTTATCTGTAAAGGAAAGCCATTATATAAAGTTGGCTATGAAACCATCTACTTCCTTCCTCTTTCAAAATACAAGTGATTTGATGAGAGTCAATGACTTTTATCAATTCCTCAAAGCTGACTTTCTGCCTGCCTAGCTAACTAACATTTAAAGAGCACAGACATAGCCTTCTGTTGTTCACTTATAAAGTAAGCCAGAGAAAGAAAATAAACAGATTAGTAAACATTATTTATTTTGAAAATACAAAAATAAATCTCTTATCTCTTTGTGATCAAATCCTTTAATATACTATACTTACATAATTTTTTTTAAATTCTCTGCTTTTATTTATTAAGCTAATTATCATAGCTGGTAAATCAACCATAGAACTGATCTGTAACATTTAAATAAATTTTCTAAAGGTCAAAAACAAAAACGTTTTGATTTTAGAACAACAGTACCACTACCACAAAGGCCAATACTTTACCAGCCCCAGTGAGGTCTAGTAAGTTCCGCAGCCTTGCAATCTCTGTCCTTTGCCTCTCCATGGTCTCATTCAGCTTCTCCATTTCCAGCACCTGTGGATCTGCTCCTGCGGTATCTACATCTGCTTTCTCCATCTCAATACGAAACTATTGAGAAATCAGACACACAAAGTTCCCAGTGAGTATTCTTTTACATATGTACTTATTCTTGCCACTGACTGTAATTCTAGAATTTTTACTTACACTTTACTAATGAGAAAACTGCCTCACTCCTTATCGTTAAACTACACTGTCCTTGGCACACAGAAAATAAAGCACTGACTGATTAGTGACTGCAATTCAAAATCATTTGTGATGTCCCCCCAGTGATCAATTTGTTAGGAACTGACAATGTCCCAATCAGGAGGAAGTCCCAAAGTACCAGCACTGACCTGCTCCTCTTTACCCCTGAGAAGGTTCTGTAGGAGTTCGATCTCTGCTTCTGCTCGAGTCAGATCCCTGGCTGCTTGCATGGCCTTTCTGCTGAACCTCTCTGTTTCCTGCAACTCCTATTGGGACAGAGGTATGAGTAAGGTACCCCAGCTCTCATAGGTTGTTTTCTTTTCTTCTTTCTCTGATTTAACAAGATTGCCTGCCTATCCCATGTATTGTACATGTGATGCCAAGTCCCACTTTGTCCTCTGCCATTTCCATTACCTGGCAGGCTGTTCCACCCCTTTATGGGTGGAGTAGGGTTCTGCATCAGAAGTGAGCAGGGCTCAATTTTCCCTTCACTGTTCTACAGTCTTCCATGACTGGTGTCTCTATGGACTCTCATCATTAGATTCTCTCCTATGATCTACTGTCTTAATCATTAGCATTTGCATTCTATAAAGACTATGTCAGCATTATCTTAGTCAGGAGTTATAACAGCCCTATGAGGTAACATATTAATCATATGATTACACAAGATAAAAAGATTGAGATTCAGGAGGATTACATGGTGGTCCTTTAAGACCTTTACTTGAGTCTGCAAAGACAGCTATCTCCCTAAGCAGATCCCTACACTTTGAGGTAGGGATGGTATGTTTCATTTGATGGTTCCTTTCACGACTCAATAGAGTGTAGGACCCATGGCAGGGCTGTGAGAGGAGAAATACAATCTGCAGGTCTGAAAGGAAACATCCAACTTTAGAGTGGTTTTATAAATAGCCAAAGTCTGTAAGAATATCAGTAATACAAGTTATGTTTTTTGACAACGGCAGCACTGGTGGAAACTTGTTCTGTACATGTGAACTCACCTCTGCTCGCTCCTGATTAATTTTCATAACAGTTCCATGAAGCGACTTAAGCTGGTCTTTAGCAAGGGTGAGCTCAGCTGTGGCTAGCTTATCAGAGGCAGCCACTGCTTTTTTTAGTTTCTTTAATTCTTTATCTAAACTAAGAAACTGCTCCTGAGATTTGGCATCTTCAAGTTTCTTCTAAAATAAAAGAAATATTAATTAAACATATGAATCATTTGATAACAAGAGCTAATATATAATTAATATTAAGGCAGGGACACTATTCACTGCTACACACCCCATGCCTAGAACAATACCTGGTACATAGTAGGTGTTCCATAAATATTTACTAAGTTAATGAATAAATAAAATCATCTCAAAACTGTAAGAAAACTTAGAATGAAATCAGTCTTCTTAGTTGAGAATCTTAGTGATTATAAATTTATTCACTGATTGGAAAAACATTTCTTGGCACTATCACCAAGCGATGGACCACCCGCTTTGAATCACTGAGTCAGGCAGTAGGCATACGGTGACAAAGAAAACAGATTTGGCTACTGCCCTCAAGGAGCTTAGGAGAGTCATTAAACACCTAAATAATAAAGACAAATAACTAAAAGTGATTAATGCTATCAAGGGACAAAACAGAGCACTCACTGTCTGAGAGAAAAGCAGGGAGACCTAGATTGGTGGGATGGCAACAGTCCAGAAGAATAGTGAAAGAACATGGTCCAGGGGAGGGAATGGCAGGTGCAAAGGCCAGAAGGGAAGACAGAACTTGGCTTTTTTTAAAATACACAGATATATATATATATATATATATATATAATGTTATTGTTTGTTTGTTTTTTACAGAGAGGAAGGGAGAGGGAGAGAGTTAGAAACATCAATCAGCTGTCTCCTGCACACCTCCTGCTGAGGATGTGCCCACAACCAAGGTACATGCCCTTGACCAGAATCGAACCTGGGACCTTTCAGTCCGAAGGCCGACGCTCTATCCACTGAGCCAGATCAGTTAGGGCAGAACTTGGCATTTTTGATGAGCTGAAGGAAAGAGCATACTGAGAAAAGGAGTGAACTAAACAGAGGTAATCATGCAGGGCCTCATAGGCTTAAGAATTTTGGTCTTTATAATAAGAACAACAGGAGCTACTAGAGATGGGGGAGACATGGATGGAACTGACAAGAGCCAATTCACATTTCTGAAAGAACATGTTGGCTGCTCTGTGGAGCAGGGTCATGAGCGGAAGTGGGAGACTTGTCAGGTGGTCACAGCAGTTGTTCAGAAGACAGATGGTGGCTGAATGAAGGTGGTGGCACTGGAGAAGAACATAGTTCATATATTCCAAATACATTATATTTTGGAGGCAGGCTCAGTAAAACTGGAGGACTGATGGGTTCTCAGTATGAGGCAAGTCATTCACTGAGGCTGGGAGAAGGGAGACGATAGGTGTGAGGAGTGAGAAGACATGAAACAATAGAGCGTAGGACAGTAAGCTTACTGGAGAAAAGGGTAAAGTTTCCACATTAACCAAGAGTTTATAGTGATATAACTATGCCTGGAAAGGCAACTTATCCTCCAGGAATACTTAGCATATCCTCAAGCCCAAAGAAAGCAAATAGCTACAGTTTTGTCAGAGAAGACAGACAGGAGAAAAGGGCAAGAGATTTGAGGATATTTGCAAAAATGGCTACAATGGTAGACTATGGAACCTAAGGTGAACAAGGAGGAAAATAAAGAAGACTTAACAAACAGAAACGGCAGGGCTAATGCACTGAAATTCTCAATAATGTTGAAAAATGTCAGCATAGGGGTGCTGGTAAGATAAGAGTGATGCTTTAATTTGTGATTTCAAAGGTGGTGGGCACAATTTGAACAAGGTATGGGATCTGGTAATGGGAGATGGTTATGTAGGATTGAGAAGTTCAGAGAGAGGCCAGGGTGTTAGAAAGAAAGCTGAGGAGTTTAGAAGTAATTTCCCACAGATATGTCCAATTGGGCAAGGGTTTTGAAAGAGATAAAGTCATCACAATAGCAATTAACTACCACCTAACCAACTATAAAATCACTCCATAGCCTTCTAATTATTTCTTTCCATCAATAATGGCACCATTGTCTCAGTCCCTTGATTCAATGACATATATCCAGATTTCTCTTCGGTCAGTTTCATGCGGGGGGGTGGGGGGGGTGGTAAGCAATGCAGCCAGAGACTACTGTGGATCACAACTCTTTCTCAGCTGGCCTGATTGCTGGGGGCAGGATGAAGCAGCAGGAACTCATGTGTCTCACTTTCCTAGTCTTCCCCACCTTTTTCTCTAACTCTTGGAGTTGGGCCAGAATTCTCTCCTTCTCTTCATCAGCTTCCTGAAGTTGGAGATCTGTAAGGCCTTGGATTTCCTCCATATTTTTTAAGTTTTCTTGCAAATAGTGAATTTCATTCTCCAACTGCTGGATCCTTGCTTCATGTTGTCTCTTATCCAAATTAATCTGTGAGGAAATGGGAGTTTCAAAGATAATTTTTAAGCAAAAATATGTTTTACTCAAAATAAAAGCTTTTGAGGGAATTATATTTCATTTTACTAAAAAAACATACTAACAAAATTTTGTAATCAGAGTTACTGGGGATGGTTTTCTCTTGAATATTCTCTAGCATCCATTTTAATGCTTGTCTCATTAAAATAATTACATCAAGAAAAATCAATTCTGGCACCATCCTCTACTGCAGCCATGTGGCATTGTTTGCCTGCATGTTAAGAAACATCTCCCAGGCTTCTAGGACAAGGAAAACACAGTTTCACAAAGAAGCCTGATTTTAACATCAGTAGCCATATGCAGGGTTGAATTTTAGTCACATCCAGCCTGACTTGTTATAAGTGAAAATAACATTTATACTTTATTTACACGAGAAAGGGAGCATTGTAATTTCCTGAAAATTTCAAATATTTGCCAAACACTTCCCTCCGGCTGCCTCTTGCCCTTTTCTTACTCTTGCTTCAAGGGCTCTCTCACAGGCCTGCCTGAACTCTTCTTGTCCATTTGCCAGTTTCTCTTGTTGCAGAGCCATTTCTTCTTGGAGTTTTCTCTCTCTTACTTGTGCTTCCTCTCTTTCCCACTGGGAACATGCAAGAATTTCACTGAATTGTTTCTGCAAATCAGCAAGACTTTTCCCTAAGACATCTGAAGGACTGTGGATTCTGGTAAGGGAAGAAAAAAGATGGTATAAATGTGACATTTTGTTTTGATACTAGATGCCAGGTACAAACATTAGTGCAGGAATAAAAAGAGTGTGGAATGGGACTGGTGTCAATTCATAACAATTTACTGAGCATCTCCTAAGTCATTGTTTTATATTAAATGACTCTTAGTTACTCTAGAACAGTGGTCGGCAAACTCATTAGTCAACAGAGCCAAATATCAACAGTACAACTGAAATTTCTTATGAGAGCCAAATTTTTTAAACAAACTTCTTCTATCTCCATTTCTTCAAAATAGACTCACCCACACTCAAGGGGCCAAAGAGCCGCATGTGGCTCATGAGTTTGCCGATCGTGGCTCTAGAAACATAGGCTAACAATGTTTGCTCAAAGAATAAATGTCCATTTCATATATTTAAATTAGCCTTAGTTTCATCTGATATTTTGTTCTCTATTTAAAATAGGAGAACATAGTGTCTCTATTTCCTAACCATATGCAATGAATTTTCTGGAATGACTCTTTAAATCTTTATGTTTTTAAAATGAAATAATAGCAAAAAGTATAAAATATTTAAAATGTAAAAAAAATCGCCGGGACCGGTTTGGCTCAATGGATAGAGCGTCGGCTTGGGGACTGAAAGGTCCCGGGTTCGATTCCGGTCAAGGGCATGTACCTTGGTTGCGGGCATATCCCCAGTAGGGGGTGTGCAAGAGGCAGCTGATCGATGACTCTCATCGATGTTTCTAACTCTCTATCTCTCTCCCTTCCTCTCTGTACAAAATCAATAAAATATATTTAATAAAATGTAAAAAAAATCAGTGACAGGCAATTTGAATTAAGCAATCTTTTGTCTCAACTATGGACCTATGATAAAGAAAAAGCTTACAAAGGAACTCAGCCATTTTACTGTACTGGGAAAGGTGAGCTCATCACTAGCCCTCACAACTCGGCCCACCATATACTTGAAGGTCTTGATTTTCCATTACCTCATTTCCCCAGCTCCTGATTTCAGTTTTCTCCGTAGCTCATCCACACGAGCTGCCACTTCTTCTGGATGAATCAAACCATCAACTACATGGTTAAGGTGATTCTGGAAATCTTTAAGTTGCTGTTTCAATAGATTATTGTCATCCTGTGAAGGAAGGTAAAATGAGAAGGTAAGTTAGCAAAACAAAATTAAAAATATACCCACATAAACATATAGAACCTGTATTACTTACCATACGTTAGTTTTATTCAACATCTTTTACTAATTATTTTAACCCTTTCCACTCAGACTAACAATATCTAAATCTACTGATCCATCTAAAGTCACAAAAGACACAGTCAGGCACTTACGATGTCTCTTGATGTGATGCAAAAAGAAATTCTTATGAATCACTACTTACGAAAGTCTTCTTGCCAAAAACTAACTTGAATCTAAATAAACCTCCATATGTAACATGATACATGGGGATGCAAACAGTATAATTTAGAATATGAAAAACTATTAACTGTATTCCCCTACCTCCTGAATGATGAATTTATTTCAAACTCAGTGTAACACTGTGAGCTAAAATATAGAGAATTTAGAATTATAATGAACTTCAGTACCTGTCCTACTTAGAGTCATCTTATCTGTAAACTGTCCCTGCCCAATGCCCTGAGGTGGCTATATTTATACTATTGTCTAATCCTGGCTACAAGTGATCTGTCTCAAGGTCAGCCAATCCACTGAAAACAAGTTCTCATTCTTTCCAGATACTGAACCAATATCCAGTATAGCAAGTCTGCATAAAAGCTGGACTTACAAAGATATGCCAGCTCAAGGCTGAAATCCATGCTGGATTACATGCAATGCCCAAAAAGATAGAAAAAGACAAATAAGAGGGCCTTGAAGCCTCTGAAAGATTGTTAGAGCAGCTCTGGTTCTTCGCAAGCAGTCTCTTTTCTTGGGGTGGTGTTGGTGGGTTTCAATTCACTGCAACTAAATGATTTCTGATAAAGACTGGTGTGGAGAGTTTAACTTGAACTCTGTAGGAGGTAAGTTAAATAACTAGAGAAATGAGTTCTATGATAGTCTCACAGCATGAGCCAGCATCCTGGAAAGCTGACTTCAGTTTCTACTTTGGAGAAGGCCCCTGAAGAATAGACTTTAGTCTTTTTTCTTTAATAGATGTATACTGAAGTATTTATGAGTACAATGAAGATGCATGAGATTTTCCTTAAATATTCCAGAAAAAAAAAAAAAGAAGACTAACTGAAACAGAATGGCAGAATGTTGAGAATTGTTTAAAGCTAAGTCAATAAAAGGTCATAAGACTGTTCTCTTTTTTGTGATTATTTGAAATTTTCCACAATAAAAATAAAAAAATAATCTGATGAACACTCAACACATACACACACAGAAATGGAAAACATGTACATCTTTTATGCTATTTGTTTTAGGAGTTGAACTGATAGGAGTAAAAATTAAATTCTAGTTTTTAAATTTCCTTAAACTTTGAGGAAAAAATATTCAAGGCGTTGGAGAAAAGAGAGAATTTAGACGAGTTTAGTCTTATTCGTCACAAACCTCCCTGCATGACTTTTTGGAAGCTTTTCCCAAACCAGAGCAACTCTGCCCCTTCACTTCTGGGGTAGGGTAACAGTTGCCACTCCCATCAACCAAGCGGCTCCTGACCTCACAGATTTGAAAACTGAATATTGACCCAGGTACTTTGTTTGTTCAGACATTTATCCTCTTTGAGAGAATTTAATCATCTGGAAAATCCTGTCCACCTGTTTCTCCTGCAGTTGGTCACATTATTGTGACAACAGCTATAAAAATATTTGGCCAAAGAAAACTTCCACCAATACGAAAAGGATGCAATTTTAATAGCATTCTTTCTGAGACAGGGATGGTAAAAACTGTTTATGGTTAAGAAGTTCTACTGCAGCCCACTCTAATTAAATTCCTGGATAGATATTTCAGTGGAAAAAGATGGAATCAATCCGATAACTTTAGTTTAGTCTGATGACAAATGTGCTTCTAGGAGAAATGCAAGATACTGCTTTCGCCCACGAGTTTTTGAGATATTGCTCTTGCCCATGAGTTTACACAATATTCTTTTTGCTACTGACATTGCCTCCATCTCTTTGCACCATCACATAACAACACTAAAGATATGCACATTAATAATTTTAAAACAATGGGCTCCCAAGGGAACAGAGACTCTCTTACATACTGTCCCACTTAGAATTTCTTTCTTTTTAATGAGAGGCCCAGTGCACAGATTCATGCACTGGTTGGGGACGTGGGTTGCGGGGATCAGCCTGCTGTTTGAGCGCCATTCACTCTGGTCAGCCAAGCAGTGCTCTCACTGTCGGAGCACAATGACCATCAGGGGCAACTCCTGTGTTGAGGTTCTGCCCCCAGGTGGCCAGTGCATATCATACCAACTGTTCGACAGGTTGTTCTGGTCATTCCGCCATTTGGTTGCTGGTTATATATATATATATGTAAATTCAAGTTGCTTACATGTTAGAGCAGATTGTCAAGTTGCTGATTAACAATGTCAACATTTTCAGTGCCCATGTAAGAATATATTCAAACCAAGTCTGTACCTGCAGCTGTTTAAGTTGCTTGCGGAGCTCACTATTTTCTTGGTCCTTTTCTTCTACGAACTGGGCTTTTCCAAGGGCATCCTTTAGGGCTTGCTTCTCCTTCTGAAGTTCTGCTTGAAGGGCTAATTGTTCTAACTATTGTCATAAGAAGCAATGATATGAAAACACAAAATAGCAATAATTTATTATCTAAAAAGGCAAAAAAATTTACATATATATGTAGTCTCTTGCTAGCTATGATTTTGTAACAACTCAATTTAAAGTTTGTATTTCCAAATTACAGATCCAAGGTAATTTTTTTCACATGCCTCCTTAAATATTGATACTTAAAGGAGAGTAAGTATCAAAATCAGCTCAGAATCTCCATGGGAATAGGAGGCCCAGCAGCTCCTTCCAAAAGCTCTGTGAGTGATCCAACAATTACTGCTATACTTCCGCTTAGACCAATTCTTCTCAAACTGTGGTCCTCAAACACCTGCATCAAAATCACTTGGTGTGCCTGTTAAAAATGCATAAGCCTTGCCCTGGCTAGGTAGCTCAGTTGGTTAGAGAGTCCTCCCAACACAAGGTTGAATGTATAAATAAATGGAACAACAAACTGATGTTTTTCTCTATCTCTTAAAAAAAAAAAAAAAAAAAAAAGCATAAACCTGGACTCATCTCAGACTTGATGGACCAGAATATCTAGGATGGGGCCCAGGGATCTGTACTCAACAAGCTTCACAAGTGATTTCACAAATGTATCAATCAAGACCTGTAGAGCAGAGAGAGATCCATTATGCTATCTACCATCACTGTGTGCTTTGAAGATCAATCCTAGCAGTCCTAATGCCAAAAAAGGGAATGCATCCTTCACTATGAATTTGTGAAAAGACCAGAGTGTTTATATTTTTGTCAAGACTTTGTTATTTTAATTTTTTTCCCCCAATCTTCTATTTTCTTCACTTTGATCATAGCACTTTAGTTTCCCCTCAATGCTGTTATCAACTGTAGTTTTATAAAACTTGGTAATCTTAAAAAATATAATCCTAACAGTTGGTAAGTGGTCATTTGATATCTGATAGATAAAGGAATACAAAATAATTAATATAATAAGACCTATTTTTACTTCTTTTTCTAATCAGCCAAATGCTATTTCACATAAATTCCTGGGATTCAAACTATCTTATTTTATTTCACTTTCATCGAATAAGAACATATTAACTTTCCCTCATGTTCCAGTCTGTTTCTGAGAACACAGAAACAGACACACTGCGCTCTGAGTCTAAGGGGGAAATGGACAATGTAAACAAATGATCACCAGACACATGATAAATGCTCTGATCAAGCACAAGGTATTGGAAAACCAAAGCAGAATCCTGACCCAGATTTTTAGCAGGCAGACAGTGAAGGTCAGGGTGTCCCTGAACCTGGAGGAAGATGCAGCCCATTTGGCTAAGTGCTACATAAATCTGTATTTTTAATCAGATAAAGAATATACTATACTATAACTGGCCTCTGCCAGCCTCTCTGCCTTTATCTTTCACCCTCTTTCCCTACTCCTCTCCTTGCTCCTGGGATACTGGAAGTATACTTTCAGCACTTTTTCATGCATTATGCTCTTTGTCTTTGCCTCTACACCTATAACATTTAGCCTTTTTACCCTTACCACTTTCACCCCACTCCCTATTCATGGCTTGGCTGAAACATCATTTCTAGAGAGTAGTCTTCCCTCACCACCCCTCTCCCAGCCACAAAACCCTACCTCTTTCTTTCTCCCACACCTCTTTCACTACTGGACTGTCAGTTTCACAAGGACAGTGACCATGTCTGTGCTGCTCTCTGCAACATTCATAGCACCTGACCCTCAATGGCCAATCAATAAGTATTTATGGATAAATATTTGTCCAATTTGCAAATATAATTTAAATGAGTGGATTATTTCACTCAACCAAAATATGAAGTTGCAAAATAAAATGTAGCATCAACTTAAAAGAGGTCTCTTAAAGCTGTTTTGAGAAAGACTAGAATTTATTGAATAACAACTTCTAGGTGCTTTCATGTCCATTATCTCCCTTATCCTCATCATAGCCATTTTATAGAGGAAGAGGCATTTGTCAGAGACTCAGAACAATGGAGTGATTTATACTTGTTCACATAGGGGAGTATTTGAACTCGGAATGTCTGACTCCAAAAATGTGCTCTTCCCATCACTCCACATATATTACCGTATTTTTTGGACCATAAGACGCACTTTTTTCCCCCCAGAAGTGGGGGGGAAAAGTCCTTGCGTCTTATGGTCCAAATATAGCCTACACATATACTTTTAAAAAAAAGTTTTTTTACTTGCCCGGCTCTGTGTGGTCTCTGTGTGCTTGCCCGGCTCTAAAATGGTTCTAAATGCTGCTGTTTACTTTACAGGGTTGATTACATGTGTTTATGACTGTGATGTTGGGTTTTAATGCACATAAAATATTTTAGGATACTATTTGTTTCAGAATCTTTTTTTCTTTATTTCCCTTCTCTAAAAACTGGTGCGTCTTATGGTCCGGAGCGTCTTATGGTCCGAAAAATACGGTATATTAAGTACTCAATTTTACATTACATTAAAGGAAGACTGATATGTTAAGGCCACAGGCTACTTGGTTTCTAGACGGTTTTATGCTCTTACTTACCTGGCTGAGACTTGTTAGTTTTTCCATGTCTTCCTTGAGCTGATTGGCTTCAGCATCTCGTACTTTCAGCTGAGCCTCGAGCTCAGCCTCATAGGCACTGAGATCTCCCTGGGTCTGCTGCAGAGATGCATTCACCTCATGCTGCTCTTGGAGGGCACTTTCTAGCTCTGCAAGTTCCTGTAAGGATTCGGGGTATGTTGAACTACAAAACCATCACTGAGCTGTTTAAGCATCTGCAAATCATTATAAGTAACTTGATCACAGTAAACCAAATGCTGGCCAGCCTGGCACAGAAAGTGTTCATTAGCAATATCATGAAGCCACGGGCTGGGCCAGGCTGAAAAGTAAATGTAATCAGAAATATAATCTGACTAAATGTAATCAGAAAAACTAGTACGCTACCAACATGTTTCCCAAAGTGTAATATTTTAATTGTGCCTGCACAAGTAAAAACAAAAAGAAAGAAAAAGAGAGGACAATAAAATTTAAAACTTATTTTCTATCAGACACTGGAATAAATGTTTTCACATTCATTATTTCATTTTATCTTCACAATTACTGTGTATGACAAGATATTATTATTTTTGTTGTTTCCCCCCATTCCTCTATCTCCAGATAGGAGAATGAACACCTGAGTAGATGGCATGAGGTTGTGTAGCTAAAAAAAGACATAGTCAGAATATGAGCTGAGATCTCTGACTCTAAAGCCCATACTCTTTATATTAAACCACAGTATGTTCACTTATCAGAACAAAATGGTATGAGCACTCTCAAATATTAAGGATAACAGAATAACTTAAATGAGTAGTAGCTAACAATACAAGTACATATTAATCAACATACCTCAATTCTGAGTCATTTTAGCCCATCTGTATTTTAATTAAACATTACAGCTTGTATCTACTTATTTTGGATCTTAAAGAATTAGATCAAATTATTTTGGATTAAACAGGGGAATCCTACGACGAGAACTTCTATAGAAGACTTTCTCAACAGATGGTCCAAAAAGCACATCTGAATCATTTGGGTTGCCTATTCAAAATGCAGACTTCATCTATAATCAACAAAGGATTAGTTTCTATATATATAGAGAATTCCTACACATTGTTAAGAAAAAGACAAACAATCCAATAGAAAAATGGGCAACACATATGAATAGGGAATTCAGTGAAGAGGAACACTGAATGGTAAATAAACAAATGAAAGGTGCTCAACCTCTCCAGTAAACCAGGGGGAAATAAAGTTAAAAGAAGACACTATTTTATACAGAGCACAGAAAACATGTTAAATACACAATGAAGAAACAATCAGACAAATCCTGTAATGTGGAACACTCTATAGGACTACCACCTGGATACACATACCCATAAACACAAGCTATTTTAAAAGATATTCTTGGCCTTGACCGGTTTGGATCACTGGACAGAGCATCGGCCTGCGGACTGAAGGGTCCCAGGTTTGATTCCGATCAAGGGCATGTGCCTCGGTTGCGGACACATCCCCAGTGGAGGGTGTGCAAGAGGCAGCTGATCAATGTTTCTCTCTCATTGATGTTTCTAACTCTCTGTCCCTCTCCCTTCCTCTCTGTAAAAAATCAATAAGATATATATTTAAAAAAAAGATATTCTTGGCACAACTGGGAAAATTTGAATATGGTTCAAATACTAGATGACATTATGGAATTACTGTTAATTTTCCCACGTGTAATAATGGTATCAGAGTGACATAGGGGGGGAAAAGTTCTGTTTTTTAAAAAAATATTTTATTGATTTTTTTTTTTACAGAGAGGAAGGGAGAGGGACAGAGAGTTAGAAACACCAATGAGAGAGAAACATTGATTAGTTGCCTCCTGCACACCTCCTACTGGGGATGTGCCCACAAACAAGGCATATGCCTTTGACCGGAATTGAACCTGGGACCCTTCAGTCTGCAGGCCGAACTCTTACCCACTGAGCCAAACTGGTTAGGGCAAAAGTTCTTATTTTGAAGAAGAAATGTGTACTGAAGGGATGGATGATGTCAAACAATACTATATATTGCTTTAAATGCATACATCTATAGATGTAAAAGGCTAATATGCAAAGTGTCCTCTTGGGAGTTCAACCAAGAGACCTGGAGTTCTATCACTCACTATGATGTGCCCTGACCATCAGAGGGCAGCATGAAACAAAGGAAGGACCCAGCAGGCAGCCAGGGAAGAAAGGCCCTGGGTGGCAGCAGGAAGGCCCCAATTGGCCCTGATCAGTGGCCCTGATCAGTGGCCAGGCCTAGGGACCCTACCCATGCCAGGCCTCTAATATATAAAGAGGGATGCAGGAAAATAATCATATTCAGGACTTTATTAGCTATGGTATGGGGTACACAGAGAGTTTCAACTACATCTGCAATGTTTTATTTCTTAAGCTAAATTGTGAGTACATGGTGTTAAATACTAAATTTGGTATTTTTATAGGCTTGAAAATTTTCATGTTAAAATATTCAAATTTCCAGAGCCAGTTCTATTGAGGATGAGGTTTGGGAACCTGGGTTTTCATGCATGATAGTTTGCCAAACAACTAAAAAAGAGATCATGAAATCTCCTAATAAATGGCAACAAATAAGGTAAAAGGGTATAATACTGTCTGTTTTCTCTGTAAATTAATGTTAAAATTATGAAGTAATGACAAAAAAAAGAAAAATTATTGTACTTAATTTTAGGACTTAAATAATAAAATATGAACATTTAATACCACATTTATAATAGCCACAACTTCATATTAGTTAGAGTTATTTGATAATGTCTTTCAGGAACAGAAACTCAGCTAAAATAAGCTTCCATTCTTAGTAAAGGAAAACAATAATTCCAAATGTATCACAACTAAAGGGAAAAAACAAGACTAAATAGCCACTAATACTTTTTGCCACTTATACTAGCACTGCTGCTAACTTGTTTAGCTTACTTAATTTGGACATCATCTATTTCTGAGGCAAGGGAAAACAGGAAAGAAAAAAACAAATCATACCTTCCTCATATTTTCTGCATCTATGGCAACTATTTCCAGTTGGTCCCTCTCCTGCTCAACCTCAGTCAGTCTCCGCAGCAACGTCTCTTTCTCATCCTGGAGCTTCCTGCACTCATTCTGGGCCTGACTTGCCTGGCCTTTGATAGTCTCCAAGTATTCTTGCAACCCACTGATGACACCTTCTAAATCCTTCTTCAGGGCTTCATTTGCTGCTATTTGGCCTAAGACAAAAAAAAAAAAAAAAAAAAAAAGGGGGGGGGGGGGAGGTAATAGTGTATATAAGAAGATGCTTTCAAGATATATCGAATATAAATAATACCGCATTTAGACTCCTTAGTTACTTGTTACCAGCTAAGATTGTAAATCTAATAAGGTTTCAATTATTTCCTACTACCTTATTTTTCTTTTTCAAGATATAATAGTTTTCCCCTTATTATCTCTAGTACAGTAGTATTAAGCAGGTATACAATAAAAATAGCATATTCAGTGATCATTGCTTATAAAATGCTTAATTCTTGCTGTAAAAAGTTTAAAGTAATCATTTCCAAATAAAATTAAAAATGTACACAAACTGAGTTATTGCTGCTAGATATACAAAATAAAAGCCACTCAACAAACAAGACTAATCCAAGACTGTGAATATAAACATGAATCCTAAAGACAAAAAAATAAAAATAAAAATAAAAATTATCCCCAACCATACATTAGGTACCTAGTATGTGCCAGGCACTTTATGAACATTATCTCACTTAATCTTCCCAACAACTAATGACGTAGACAATAATAATATGTCCCAGGTCATGCAGCTGATAATGGCAAAACAGGGACTGGGATCTTATGCCAAGTGGAGGCTCTCACCACTATAACCTTTCATCCTCCCCTTCCACAATGGCAATGTCACAATTTAAATTTGCATTGCAAAAGTAGATCCTAAAATTCTTTCTACACTCCCCTTGTAACTAGACACTGAATACTCTGAAATCAATGGGCTCTTTGCTCCTGAAAGGATTTTATGCCTTGAGGAAGACAATCCCATGCCAGAGTTTATCATGATCATGTAGCTAACGTCCTGCCTACTGTCTGCAATGACCTGACTCACTAGGACATCAACACAAAATTAAATAAATTTAAATTTTTTTTATTATATACTGTGTACTGTGTCAATATTTCCCTATCAAATACTAGCACTTAAGAGCTGAAGCATATTTAGCTAATATCTAGATTAATGCTTGCCTGGGTGCCATTTGTTTTTAATACTAAAACTAATTTATCTTTAAATCAACTTAAATTCTCACCTTCAGTAAGCTGTTGTTCAAGGTCCTTAATCTCTTCAGTTTCTTTAGCAATTCTAGAAAGTATCTCATCCAAACGGCTTTCAAGTTGTTTGTACTGCTTGTTCATAATGTCAAGCTGTTGTTCTTTACCCCTTTTCTGAGCCTTCATATGGCACTGAATTGAAAAACAAGCAAATTCAAAAAACTTTTAAAAATAATAATCCTTAACATTTCTAAAGAAAAACTGGAAAAATAAAATGAAATAATTTGCATATGTTGTGTGTCAGGCTGTGTGTTTTTTTCACATGAGTTTTCATTTGACTTGATATTGGAACCTCCTCCATTTTAGAGATGAGCAAATTGTGTATAAAAGAGGGTAAGGGCATAGCGAGTAGGTAATGCTCAGAGTTCAATGAACTGCATTAAAATATGTCTCTTTAAAAAGGTTTCCAAAAAGTTAATTGATTATATATACATCTAGAAAAATAATATATTCCAAATGTTAACAAGAATTATATATCTGGGTGGAAAGATTACAAGAGGTTTTTTTGTTTTTGTTTTTTTTTAAATGAGTTTTGTATATTTAAAATAATTTTTAAAATAAAAAAGTGATATCTTTTAAATGAAAACAACATATATATTTTTTAAAAAGTTAAATCTTTATTGTTCAGATTATTACAATTGTTCCTCTTTCCCCCCCCCCATAGCTCCCCTCTACCTGGTTCCCACCCCACCCTCTGCCCTTACCTCCTCCTCACTGTACAACATATGTACTTTTAAAAAAGATTTGTTTATAGAATAGGGACATGAAATGAAAACTTACTTGAAACTCAAGTTTCTTTTCAATTCCTTACACGACACATTTTTTTTTTTTTTTTTTTTTTTTTTAGGTTCCATAAACTGGGAGCTCAGAGGGACCTCAAAGCCTATTTAGACCCAGTGATTCTCAAGATGGAGGACCAGCCCTCTGGAGGTAAACTCCTCTACTAACTACATATCCACCTGGTGGAAAACAGAGCTTTCACACCCATAGACCATCTCACACTCTGACAGGAATCAATTTAGAGAGCTACTGGTAACTGAAAAGATTGGATTGTATTTCTCAGGTGTGCTGGGGGACAGGGAGGGAGAAAACTGATAACTAGGGAGCAGTCAAACTCTTCCTTTTACACATGAGAAAACTACGTCTCAGATTCATCAAATGACTTGCCCAGGTTATCTGGAGACTGTTCATATGGAAACAAAACAATTACCCAGGGAATCTTTGCCCTCTCACTAACACCTCAAAGGCTCTAACCTCCTTCCCCCATCAGAGGAAAAGAATAATAAATCAAGTTATCGAGAAAAAACTAAATTACAGTCTAAACAACAAACTCCAAGACTCAATTGATTATAAATGAACATTTTTCAAGTTTAGAAGTCCGTTGCCTCCAAAGACAAGAACGAATGAATGGTAGCTTGATCAGAAGGGTTTAAATGTACTACTGGTAAAACTTGATGGGCTTTTCAAAACTCTTCTTTTTCCACCCATTTCCAAAATACCCATCCAAAATCTTTCTGAAAAAGTAACTGCAGGTACAGCTTAAATCCTAAGGAAATTTAGGATTTTTTATGGCTCAGGACAGAATGAAAAAACAAAAAAACTCTTGCATTCATCTATTAATAAATCTTTAAAATTCACCATTAAAATGTTAACTGAAATCTTTTTACACGCAGGACAAAACGTTGGTTCAGTATGCCCATGATTTGCATTACACATGGAAGCAAAAGCTCACAAAAGAATTATTGTAAAAACAGGAACTTACACATGACTCCACCTCTTTTTAAGCCCTTTGTAGAGAGAAAATGCTCCTACCTTAACTTAGAATTTGTCCTGTTAAAACTGAGCCGTTGAGAACAAGGAAATTGTGGGCGGAACGCTTTCCAATGTCTTCAAATTTTAAGTGCACTTCCCTCTCTGACAGCCACATTTTTGTAAACGCCTCCGTCTCTGTAACTTCCCAGCTCTTCAAACCACGTTCCGGGTCTAAAGTAAGTGGCAGCCCAGCTGGTCCAATCATGAGCAGCCTCCGTTGGTCCCACAACACAGGAAGCTCCCGAGGGCCAATCACGCACACTCTTTGCAAAAGCTTACTTCAGGCTAAATCCCCACAGAGAATAGTTGCCGTTTGCTTCCACAGGGCTTGGCCACATAGGGAAGAGCTATATAAATCCTCCTTTATTATTTGCTCTTGTGACTTATATGCTACTAGCTATGACCATTTTA